TCGAACCCAGGGCCTCGAGCATGCAAGGCAAGCGCTCTACTACTGAGCCACCTTCCCAGCCCTCTAGCCACTGAATTTAACCTTTAGAGACCAATACCATCAGGTCATTCTGGATTAGAACTAGAATAAATTAACTATCTGACATTGTCAAGCTTAACTTCTCTGAGTCTCAGCTTTCTCCTCTCTAAGACCTATATCTTGCCTAACTCATGGTGAGGAAACTTTATCAATAAGGCGCCCATGTCAGTAAGAGTCATTTCACTTGACTGTCAATATTCACCTTTTAGTTTTTGGTCAGTTGGGGCTTGAACTCTGGGCCTGGGCACTGTCCCTCAGCTCTTCAGCTCAAGGTTAGTGCTCTACCACTTGAGCCATGGTGCCACTTCAGGTTTTCTGGTGGTTAACTGGAGATAAGAATCTCACAGACTTTCCTGCTCAGGCTGGCTCTGAACCATGATCCTCAGATCTCAGCCTCCTGAGTAGCTAAGATGATAGGTGTGAGCTCCAGTGCCCAGCCAATATTCACCTGTAATACTGCTGTTATTCATGTTCTCTGTGGTGAGCCTGAGACAGCTCCACTGTTCTTACTATATGTTATAAATGTACTCATTCATTACCACTAGGCTACCCATGAGTCTCCTCTTTCTACTTCTGTTAGTGCATGTCTAAAAGATGTCAGGAACACTAATTTCCACAAATAGTCACTCACTGTAATCATATTAATAGCGAATGTGCCAAATGCTTACGTATGCACACTATGCTATTGAAATAAGCATCATTTTAAATCATAGATATAAACATGTTGCCACCCAGTTGTTTCTGATTAATGTGTCTCTTTGCCCCAGTCCTCGTCCTCAAGGTCAGTTCAGTTCTATGAAATCACCTTATTCGTGCAACTTGTGCAAAATCAAGTTGTCCATAGAGAGGAGCGTGTCAACAGTGTGTTTGAGGATTAAAATCAACAACCAAGTAGGTGTTCTGGGCATTGCTTTGTGATGCATGAGCTGAACCCTGGGTGAGGGTCCCTTTCCCCCAAGAGTTCCCCGGACACAAGAAGAGACCTGGAAGCAAAGAGCAGAAAAGCCACCCTGCCGGTTACCTATAGCTGTCTGGTGGACTTGCACTCAGCACAAGCTCAGGAGAGCTAATAAAATGCCAGGGCTCACTCCACCACCTACCTTCTCAATGGTCTTGAGGACAACAGAGTAGTTGTTGAAGAAATTGGTGTATGGGGTCCACTGGCTCCCAAACCTGGTGAAGATGTCCCCCACACAGTGAGCTGGACCCCAGTCTTGGAGTCTGTCTCTCAGGTTATCTAGAAACTGCCTGCAACACAAGGAGAGCAGTCTGACCTGTGACGATCCACACACGTATGCAATCTAAGCTGCTGTCACGAATGCAGTCTTTTTCCCCCTACTCCTTTATGCGAGGACTTGATTTTAATCAGCTTCTTGTTTTCTTAACACAGAGCAGCGCAGATCTGATAGGACAAGATTGCTGGGCCGTGAGGAGGAGATGGAGAAGCCCACCTTCCCCTCACTCCTCATGTAGGACCCAGACTACAGCCAGCCCGCCGGGCCCTCCCACAGACAGGCAGATGGGACAGACCTATCTCATCCTTCTCAGAGGAGAAGGACAGCTACAACAACTTCCACACTCAATGTCATCATCTGAACTGGGCCGGTGTCCCCGTGGACCAAGGGACCCTTCCAGCCATCAAAGGCCTTGAAAACCGGCAATAGGCTTTGCCAACCTCTTCCCTGCGTGAGGAACCGGCCCTAAAATGCCTAGCGAGTCCTTATCAGAGACACACATGCTCCGTTTACCTCCCTTTACTATGGGTAGAAACAACCATGTTGAGCTCATGTCGCACACACAACCACATGCTGTTCTTCAACTGAAGCCAGCCGTGGGCTCTAAACAGAGAAAGGCTAGTTGATTCCATTAGATCTTCTGTCCCTTCCCATTACTCGCTAAAGCATCGCTGGTTAAAAAACCATTCTGAGACCAGGTACATTGGTGTATGCCTATAATCCCACTTTCATGGGGTGCAGCAGTGGGAAGATCATAATCTGAGGTACTCTGGAGACACACACACACACACACACACACACTGTTTGAAAAATAACTAAAACAATAAGGGTTGAGAGTATGACTTAAGTAGCAGAGTGCCTTCCAACCACTTGCGAGCCCCTGACTTCAAAGCCCAGCTCTACAGAATCAGGTCACTTGATGATGGGGCAGGGAGAAGGAATGATGGAAGGAATGATGTAGATCCAGATGCACTGCTTAGAAACTGACATGCTAAATTGAGAGCCCTTTGTACAACTACTTAAAGACAGTTAAAAAAAAACGGTGGGGGGCTGGGAAAGTGGCTCAGTGGTAGAGCGCTTGCCTTGAATGCATGAGGTCCTGGGTTTGATTCCTTAGCACCACATAAGCAAAAAGAAAAAAAGCCGGAAGTGGCACTGTGGCTCAAGTGGTAGAGCGCTAGCCTTGAGCTGAAGAGCTGAGGGACAGCACCCAGGCTCAGAGTTCAGGCCCCACAATCGGACCAAAACACAACAACAACAACAACAACAAAAACGGTGGAATTAAAATTCCTTCTTAAAACTACTTAAAATTAAAAACTTCAGACAGCTCTCCTTTTTCCTTTGCATGAATGGCCCACAGACTATAGAAGACCCAGACACTGAACTCCAACTCCGGGCACGTGGCTGCAGTCTGGAGAGGAGGTGACCCCGGGAATCACTGCAGCTAAGTGGCTTGCTGAGGAGTCGCTCTGCGACATGGGTCCCCAAAAGAATAAGCCATTGTCTGAGACTCCCTCCGCTTTGGAGGTGAAGTGTAGGTTCTTCCCACTACCTGTAGAATATACATACATACGTGTGTGTGTGTGTGTGTGTGTGTGTGTGTGTGTGTGTATCTGGGAATATGGCTTAGTGGTAGAGTGCTTGTCTAGCATGTGTGAAGCCCTGGGTTCAATTCCTCAGTGCCACATAAACAGAAAACACCAAAAGTGGCACTGTGGTAGACTGCTAGCCTTGAGCACAGAGAGGCTCAGGGACAGTGCCCAGGCCCTGAATTCAAGCCCCAGGACTGGCTAAATAAATAAATACAGATTCAGACTCAGGTTTTACCTGTGGAGACTTAAAATCTGCAGGATATCAGCGAAAATAATCTGGACATTTGCAGCACTCAGGATGGCTCTGTTGGAGCCCAGCGATGCTCTCAGTGGCCTCACATAAACATCTCTCACGATTTCCAGCGTTTGCACGTACCGCCTCTCACTCTGCAAGAGTTCCAGGACAACTCTAGCTCGCATGTCCACCGAAGCCCTCTGAAGCTTCCTCTCCTGCAGAGAAGCATGGAGAACCAGCTCACAGGAAAGCACCAAGACCTAGCCCTCCGCAGGGCCAACAAAAATCCACCCAGGTCATGACTGACAAGGATGGTCCTGGTGGAGGCGATGAGGGGGAATGGAACTCAGGGACACCTCGTGGAGCGCAAGTCTCATCCTGGGTAGATGGGGTCCCGGCTGCAGGCCGAAGCTACAGGAAGATGTCCCCTGAGCCCCTACTGACACAGCCAGGACACACTCCCCCAGTGACCACAGCAGTTTTCTCCATATTTTTGCATTCTTTTCACCGTCGGAAACAGATAAAATAAACAGGTATGGAAAGTCATTGGTGGATTTGCACAAGATCTTTTCTGTCTCCTAAATGACCACTGGTGAAGGTATGATCACCGGCAAATGCAGATGGGATGGTGAAAGGGGGAGCTCGTGGGAGGGGGAGGGGAATGAGCTCCTCCAGAAAAGCTGGAGCTCTCTGCTTCATATGCCAGAAACCGCTGTGCTCTCGCCGTTTGACCAAAACACACTGAGATCCTCACTGGGAAATGTCTACTGAGCAATGTGGGTTTGTGTGTGTGTCTGTGTGTGTCTGTGTGTCTGTGTGTGTCTGTGTCTGTGTTCTCATTGTAAAAGTAAAGACAACCTTATTTTTCTTTCTTCTACATCATTTCTTTCTTCTGCATAGCTCTCATGTAGGGCAATCGGTCTATAAATCAGGAAGAAAAAAAATCACTCCACAAACTAAAGTCCTAGCCAGGATGTACTGGCACATGCCTAGAATCCCAGCACCATGAAGCAGAGGCTTAAATAAACTTGTTTAAAGTGAAAGCAACTATAAAAACACAAAACTTAATCTATGTAATCTTCGCTGCAATGAGTCAGTTATGAAAAATTCTCAGCGAAAACAAAGGACTAACCAGGATGAAAGCAAAGCTTCAGGATCATTAGTAAAACAAACAGATTTCACATTATGTAATGAATGGCTCACCAGTTTAGCCAGCACTTTGACATTTAGATTGCTTTTGCTGAGACTTGATTTGGGATCCTCAGAACTGTCTTCTGTGATGGTTTTTTCCTGAAAGTCAAATAGAACTCAACTACTCGGAGGTGAACTTGGGCCGGGGGTGAGTGGATGGGAGGTGTGGGGGAGTGGGCAGGATGCCCGGTGTCTCTGAAACCCCATACAAGCCCCTTCCGTGCTTAGGCATCCACATCATCCACATTCAGGTCTTGGCGTTCTCCCCATCCCCCACACACCTCCCCCACCTCCCAAACACACACCTGCTCACTGGGGCTTTGGCCACCTTGACTTCACAGCAGCTCGGTTTTTAAATGGAAATGGTTCTTTGGGAATAGGAAGTTGATTCGCCATTATAACTTTATTTGATGCTAAAGACAGTAACTTGTCTCCTTTATATTATGCATAGCTGCAATGGTGAAGATTTTCAGAGCCCATTTTAAAATCATGATGGTACCCCTGATTCTGTTTTTAAGAGATGAACTCAGAGGCAATAACAGGGCAACACATTCTGCAGATCTATAAGAAAATGGTGGTATGGGAGGGTGGGCCTTTGCCTGAGCCGCTCACAGGCCTGGGCTTTTGTCACATAGCAGATTTTCCCTAGGATGAAGCAACAATCATTCCACACTTGGCTGTTTTCCCAGAAGATATTATGTTGCCTGGACCAGGGGCGAGAAATAACTGTGCAAGCATCTCGTAACGCTCAGGAATGACTGGAACCATGGCTGTGACCCATCACCATGGTTTCAGAGAATTGGTGTAAACACAACACATTGCCCCCCACACACATACACACAAGCAAACCAGGAGTGATTACTGCTGACAGCAAGAAAATAGGGACTGATAATGGTGATGACTAAGGTCCATGGTGATGGAGATAGATAAACAGGTAAGTGGTGATTGTGGGGATGAGGAGTGTAGAAAAGGCTGCGTGTGCTAGTGCACACTTGTAATCCCAACACTCAGAAAGTCAAGAAAGGAAGGATGTGAATCTAATGTCCTCCTGGGCTAAACATCAATATACTGTTTCAAAACAATGAGAGAGTGAGCAAAGCAGAGGGTGGGGAGGGGGGGTTGAGCAGAGGGCGGGGAGGGGGGTTGAGCAGAGGGCGGGAGGGGGGGTTGGCGAAAGATGGAACAATGCAGGTTAGCTTGACAGAGGGGGTGGCCCAGCGGCCCTCCCGGTCCACCCTTGGCCTGCTCCATGCTGTCCTCCAGTGAAGCACTAACAAGAACTCCCAGAAAATCAGGCTTGACAGAGCAATGATTTGCTACTGGGGGACTCACCAGTCTATCCTAATTCTGAGTTGGGGAACAGGGGTAGCAATGAGGGCTGTGCTAAGCCTTCAGACGTGAGAGGTGGGTATCTTTTCTCTGAGCATGAACTGATTCTAGCGTGAGGTGTTCGTCTAGACAGCAACCAGAGGAAATGACTGTACACTCTGCTTTTTGAATGTAGGCATTCTGACTCTAGCCGACAGCTGACTCTTCATTTGCCTTCTTGTCTGAAGAACTAGCTTCAAGCCTACGTACTCTTGTTTATAAATTTGAATCTCAACCAAGAAAGAATGGACCATCCTTAGCGTTATGGGCAAAAAAGGTGAGGGTCGCTGGGAGCCGGTGGCTCACACCTGTAATCCTAGATACTCAGAAGGCTGAATCTGAAGATCGAGGTTCAAAGCTAGCCCAAGCAGAAAAGTCCCCGTGTGACTCTTATCTCTAATTAACCACTCAAAAACTGGAAGTAGAGCTGTGGCTCAAAGTGGTAGAGCGCTTGCCTTGAGCAAAAGAGCTCAGGGACAGTGCTCAGGCCCTGAGTTCAACCCCCACGACCAACCAAAAAAAAAAGAGCGGGATGGGAGGGACGAATCTCCTGAACTGCAAGTGAATAAAGTTGGGTTTTATTCCCCCCTCAAGTTTCCCAGGACTCAGGTGAATAATTGGCAAAGCAAAAACCCAAATCCAATTCCAACCCCCCATGACAGAACAGTTACCCAAGTGGATACAGTAGGCTTGTGCTTTGAAGCCGCTAAAATCTCACATTATGATGCCTACCATAAAACACCTTTTCAAAGAACAGTCGGTAGAAATGATGACAGAGGAGACATGACCAGTGTCAAGGTTCCCAGGAATAGAGTCACGCAACGACTTTGCCACACAAGGTAGTCCCAGGGAAGCCGCGTCTAAAGGCAGACGCGCCTTTACCTTCACCAGTGAGCCGAAGGTCTCTTCAGGGTCACATTCCATTAGAGTAACATTTCCTTCAGAGTTGCTGCTCTTCTTACCACATTTCTTCAGCAGAAAATGTGATAAAAATTCCAAAGGTTTGTCCTGAAAAGTTATACCCCACCCCCCCAAAAAAGTAATCCTCTTTTAAAAAGACATTTGGAATGCAGGTCTTCAAAAAGCACAGTATAAAGAGAACAGTTTTCAGCTTAGTTCTAATTAAACTGCCTAATTCATTTACACGGAAGCACGCTAGAGTCAGCAAGGGGACTTCCTAGTTAATCCCTTAGTCTGGTCACCATACTTTAGCTTGCTTCTGTTTCTTTTTCCTTTTTGTAGTCTTGTGGAAGAGTCTCAAGAACATGACCCCCGACATACAGGAGGAAAGTAGACCCAAAGGACCGGGTAGCAGAAAGCAGGCCTGGAATCAAAGAGTCAGCAGCAGAACAGCCAGCAAGCCCACCGTGAGCTTCCCTGCTTTGCTCCTCCCTCAGAATACAGGTTTAAGCACATCGAACTTACATCAGGGCTGGGAATGCAACTCAGTGGTAGAGTGCTTGCCTAGCGTGCATGAGGCCCTGGGTTCGATTATATCACTCAATGTCCTTCCTCTACGAAGCAAGGGTAGCCATTCTTTGGGATTTGGGAGAGAGTGCAGGATCTCTCCAGGCCTCAGCGTCATCTCTGACCATCCCTGCTCATTTTACCAGTGAAGCTCAGCAGGGTTTTTCTTGCTGATCGGGTTTCCTAGGCATTGGACACTAAGTCCAGAGACAAACCACAGCTGACTGCAACTGGATTTGGGAAACGGAGCAGGGAGAGGCAATGTGGGCGGAGAATGTTAAATTCTCTCACCAAGGAGGCTTCACCATAGTGGAAGACAAGAACTTGAGAATCTTTCTTTGAAAAACTTAAGGCTTGGTTAGCATTGAGAGAGCAACATCATCCATGTTCCAGTTCCTGTCTCGTTTCTGACTCTCCCCAAGTTCCCCCAAAGATGGAGCCGCAGGCTTTATTGTCTGTAGCCTGACTGTCGCCCTAGGGGTAGGAGAGGTCTGGGACCAAAGGCTCCTGGTTTCCTGAAATGTGACTGACTTTTCCTGGAGAACACCCACAATTGGTGGTGAATAACTGTCTCTTTATGCCTCAGCCCACCTGACCCCAACAAATGGCTGACTTTTTTCTGTTCTTTGTTCTTTCTCTCTTGTCTAGTTAACTTTTCCTTCATCATTTTGGAAGTGGTTCACACATTTTTTTACTTTTTCCTTTCTTATACTAATAATTATTCTCCTTGATAATGCTTGTGTAAATTATCAGGCTAGGGACGTGTTTGTGGAGCAGTCAATGCTGACTGAAATTAAACACAAGGCAAAAAACCCTACAATGTTAGAAACTTTAACACACAGATTTTTCTGCTTGTCTGTTTTATAACTTTTATTTTTTTTGGGTCCGGTCATGGGGCCTGAACTCTGGGCCTGGGCACTGTCCCTCAGCTCTTCAGCTCAAGGCTAGCGCTCTACCACTTGAGCCACAGCGCCACTTCTGGCTTTTTTCTTTTTGTTTATGTGGTGCTGAGGAATCGAACCCAGGGCCTCTGGCATGCAAGGCAAGTGCTCTACCACTGAGCCATCTTCCCAGCCCATGCTTGTCTGTTTTATGTACTTAATACAATCTTGAGCACAGAGTCTCTCTTATGAAGTGGTGTAATTTCGCTACGTGCTTATGCCTCTAAAGAAGTAAAATACTACAGTAAGATAAAATACAAACTAAGAACTGACTAGAGCTGACTAAGAACTGACTAGAGCTGACTAAGAACTGACTAGAACATGCTAGAGCTTCTCTAGTAATGAAACACTTACAGAATCCTCCTTTGACAGCTCCACCAATCCATCTGCCAGAGCTTGTGCAGTTTCTTGGATATTCAAAATATGGGCCAAATTCATAGTGTCAAACAGAAATTTCCCTGTAAATATAAGGTCACATGACCCATAATTAATTTATGGAAGAAATATGATTTAAAAAATGAAAGCAACTTGATCATCACAGCTACTCATATTTATCTCAATAAATATGAGTAAACGTATTAGACAATAAAGAGTTCTGTATGGTAAAATATAAAATGGCAACAACGAGTTAAATGTGTAAAAAAAAATGTGTAGCATTCAATAGTACCCACCAGGAAAAATACACTGAATAAAATCTATAAATGGAGCTGGGCGCCGGTGGCTCACATCTGTAATCCTAGCTACTCATGGTTCAAAGCCAGCCTGAGCAGGAAAGTCCATTAGACTCTTATCTCCTATAAACCACTAGAAAACTGGAAGTGGTACTGTGGCTCAAGTGGTAGAGCGCTCGCCTTGAGCTGAAGAGTGCAAGGACAGCGCCCAAGCTGAGTTCAAGCCCCATGACTGACAAAAAGAAAACCTATAAATGGAACAAAGTGAGCACATGAAATGAAACCTCCTAAGTTCAAATGTTACATTCACAACCCCTCCAAAACTCCTACATACTGTCTTAATCTTAGTGCTCAAAGTAGAAGTATTTTATGTCCGCAGGAATAGTATACAAATAGACATCTTTTGATTTTTTTTTTGGCCAGTATAGGGGCTTGAACTCAGGACCTGGGCACTGTCCTTGAGCTTCTTTTGCTCAAGGCTAGCACTCTACCACTTGAGCCACAGTGCTACTTCCAGCTTTTTCTGTTTATGAGGTACTGAGGAATAGAACCCAAGGCTTCATGTGTGCTGGGCAAGCATTCTACCACTAAGCCACATTCCCAGACCCCTTGATTTTCTTTTTTTTTGGGGGGGGTCTGGTCGTGGGGCCTGAACTCTGGACCTGGGCGCTGTCCCTCAGCTCTTCAGCTCAAGGCTAGCACGCTACCACTTGAGCCATAGCACCACTTCCGGCTTTTTTTTCTACTTATGTGGTGCTGAGGAATCGAACCCAGGGCCTCAGGCATGCAAGGGAAGCACCCTACCACTGAGCCACCTTCCCAGCTCTCCCCTTGATTTTCTTAACATTTCAAAGAGCATACTGTAATTTGAAAACAAGATGTTGGTTTTTTTTCCCACTGATTCTTCAGTGACTATATATATCATCAAACATCTACATTTCTCTAGCCCTAAATAGCTGTGAAATAACCCTGAGAGAAATTCCCTGGTTTATGGCTTAATAATTATTTTAAAATATTGGTTGGACATCTACAAAATATGGTAGAATAGGTAGAACAAAGAAATAAAAAGAAGCTAGCCTAGTGGCTGACACCTATAACCCAACTTCTTTGGAAGCAGAAACTGGAAAGATTTTGGTTCAAGGCCGGCCTGGGCAAAAAGTTAGCAAAATTCCTTCTCAATAAACAAGCTAGAGCTGTGTGCCAGTGATTCACACCTATAATCCCAGCTACTCAGGAGGCTGAGATGTGAGAATCACAGTTCAAAGCCAGTCTGGGCAGGAAAGCTGATGAGACTTATCTCCAATGAACCCCCAGAAAACCAGAAGTGGTGCTGATGCTCCAAGTGGTGGAGCACTAGCCTTGAATGAAAAAGCTCAGGGATAGTTTCCAAGCATGGTTACTACGTGCCTGTGGTACCAGGTACCACAATTCTAGACTAGCCCCAGGCAAAAGTTCAAGACCCTGTCTGAAAAATAATCAAAGCAAAAAAAATTTTGGTGTTGTGGCTCAAGTAGTAGAACATGTGCCTAGCAAGTACAAAGCTCTGAGTTCAAATGCTACTACTCTCTTCATTTCCTCCAGAGAAAGAAAGAAGTAGGAAGAAAGGAAAAAAAGAAAGGGCTAGTAAATGCAAGGTCATGAGTTCAAACATCATCAAAAAAAGAAAGAAAAGAAAAGGTAAAGATTAGGAAAGAGGAGGAGAATGATAAAGGGGTAACATTGATCAAGATGCACTGTACTCAGAACCGCTTGTTGAATTGGAACCTCTTTGTACAATTACTTAAAATTTTAAAAAATACAAATAAGAGAAAAGAAGGAACAGAAAAAGGAGGAAAAGAAAAGAAAGAAAAATACATGGAAGATCATGGTTTGAGGCCACTCTTAACCAAAGAAGTTCACAAGCCTCCATTTCAACCAGTAGCTGGTGTGGTGTCATGTAGCTGGCATCCCATGATTCAGGGAAGCATAAACAGGAGGACTGCAGTTCAGGCCAGCCTGGACATAAGCCATATGCCATTGTAAACCACCAGTGGCCCATGCCTGCAATCCTAGCTACTCAGGAGGCTGAGATTCAAGGGTCATGGTTGGAAGTTAGACTGGACAAGAAAGTCCATGAAAGTCTTACCTCCAATAAGCTACTCAGAAAAGGCCAGAAGTGGAGCTGTGGCTCAAGTGGTAGAGCACTAGCCTAGAACAAAAGAAGCTCAGTGATAGGCTCAGGCTCAAGGACTGGCAGAAGAAGAAGAAAGAAGAAGAAAAAAGAAGAAGAAGAAGAAAGAAGAAGAGGAAGAGGAGGAAGAGGAGGAGGAGGAGAAGGAGGAGAAGGAGGAAAGAAGTTGCAGCAGCAGCAGCAGTTACCAAGAAACTCCAGGTACCTAAAGAAGAGTGCAAAATCAACCTGAATATTCTTTATATTATTATTTGTTATATTATTCTTTATTTTTATACTTTATTTTCATTTAGTATTCTTTATATCATTTTATTGATAACTTTTTTTTTTTTTTGGTCATGGGGCCTGAACTCTGGGCCTGGGCACTGTCCCTGAGCTCTTCAGCTCAAAGCAAGTACTCTACCACTTGAGCCATAGTACCACTTCTGGTTTTCTGGTGGTTAAGTGTCATGGACTTTTCTGCCCAGGCTGGCATTGAACCTCGATCTTCAGATCTCAGCTTCCTGAGTATCAGCTAGGATTACAGGTGTGAACTACTAGCGCCCACCTTTTGAATCGTGATCTTCAGATCTCAGCCTCCTGAGAAGCTAGGATTACAGGCATGCATTATTTGTACGCAACTAGCTTCAGGATTTTGAACACAAATTTGTTCTTGGTATTTGTTGCATTTTAAAGAAAATAGAAAAACTAAGGAGACAAAATTTCCTAAAGTTCTGTAAATTACATTTTATTTGCATACTCCTAATCTTGCATACGCCAACCTGCAGAAGTGCCCAGAGTCCTTACCTACCATCCTGCCGCTGATATTCTTCTGCAGGTCCTTGAAGAGAGGATTTAACTCTTTTCTCACTGATTTCAAGGTGTCTTCCAGGGAGTCTGAGAGGTTGGACCATGTCTGAAGCTTGGATTCATTGAAGTAGATGGTAGGAGGAAGTTGGAGCCACTCCAGTCCCAGCCAGTCACTGAAAACTGACAGTGATTACTTAAGACTTGAGCTTAGCTGGGAAAATTCGATTTCTTGTTTAAAGTATGACAGACTCAATGGTCTTTAGGCCAGGTGGATTTTATTTTCTCCTTTGAAGAATAAGACAAGCAGGCCCTGGTGGCTTATGCTTGTGAGTCTTGTGACTCCAGAAGGCTGAGATCTAAGGATCACAGATCAAAGCCAGCCTGGGCAGAAAGGTCCATGAGACTCTTATCTCCAATTAACCAGCAAAAAGTGAAACTGTGGGCCACAAAGCAAAGCAGAAATATTGAAGTTATACCTTGCATCCTCTCTGACCACAAGGGAATAAAATTAGAACTCAACACCAAAAGCCACCAAAGAAAGTCCGGTATCACATGGAGGCTGAACAACACACTGCTGAATCATGAGTGGGTCATGGAAGAGATTAGAAAGGAAATTCAAATGTTCATGCTATTCAAC